AAAATAGATATTAGGAAACACCATTTAGACGAAATATACCTCTGAATGCGATACAAATTTGAATTCATGGCTTGCTTGATTTTATACAACTAACAACTTTCTTTTTGAATGACATGGGAACCTCTTAGGAAATGAAGATGACCAAAGCTGGTTAGAATGAATACGGAATGTGCACCAGTTTATTTTCAGTTAGTTTGCACCATTCCCTCATGTAGGTAGTTTGCCTCATCAATTTTATTTTAAAATTTATCTTATAGAATATTTTTCTTTCTTGATTTAATTCAGTTTTCAGATAGCTTTGGCTTGGTACGTTCAAACAGTTATTCATGGTTATTCAGAATATAACCATCTGTCATACCGTCAACGCTGTTATATTCAGAATTATACACTTTGTTGTTAGCCCCCATTGCTGAGCACTCAGTCTCGCCGTGGCCAAACTTGGCAAAACTCTTTGCAGTATCGGCGCCACTGGAGCACTGCCCATCGGACATAAAAACATACACTTTATGTTCTCGCTTCTTAGCAGCGAGAGCACACTTCCTAGCGGCATCTTGTCTTGTTGTGTAGTCGCCATCTAGCACAGGGTCCTGTCCTTCTAGGCTAGGAATGTCACGAGCTTGTGAGTCCTTGAAACATCCAAGCTTTTGATCATCATAATACATGTGAATAAACGGCGAAAGAATGTCTGTGAATGACGAAACGACAAGAGTATAATTAATGTTGAGAAAGATAAGTTAAAAACATTGGTTTTATTCATCAATCATTAAAAACAAAATTCAAAAAAATAAATATGATAGGTAACAGAGAATCAGCCCGTCAGCTGTCAGTTTACAATATCCTTGTCACCGTACCTTCCATGGTTCCTGTCAGATTGTAAACATGGTTAGCCCCGACTCCTCCTTTTCCGTCATTCTTACAATCCTGTGATTTACCGTACTTGCCATACACCTTGTGTGCATTGGGGCTACCAACACACATACCGCCACCTTGAATTGCAAACATTTTATATCCCCGTGTCAAGGCTGCCACAGCGCACTTCTGAATAGCATGATTTCTCAGTGAATAATCATCTTTGAGAAGAGCGTCGGTTGTTTCCATGGATGGAATAGCTCCTGCACGTTTATCTCTGTAACAGCCAAGTGATTCGTACTTAACAGAGGACAGAAAATCTGAAGAGAAGGGTTGGTATCTTGTATTAGTAGGGACGGGCATGCATAAATTCACGTTCCTAAATGATGGCATAAACGAAAGAAGCAGTGCATTATCAAAAACGCCAAATGGAACAGCATTCTGGAAAAGAGGACAATCCCGCAAGGTACACCCAATTTTTTTTGAAAATTTCTTACCGGGAAAATCTCTGTTCCATTTTATTTCCCTCCTGGAATTTCTGCCATTTGCCCCCGTCTTGCAGGGACCAGAATTTTAAGCTGATTGGAAAGCGCCTGAAGCATCAATGTGCTGTTACGTGTTTTTCCCGTCAAGTGTAGTCGTACTTTGTATTGACATATTAATTTGTATTCCGGATAATTAGGTCTTTTATTATGGGCTTCACCCAGCCACCGTAAGTATATTGCCTCCATCCAAAGCTCTTTATCAATTCAATTGTATTGTCAGCCTAAAATCCAAGACAAGCGCGCACGATGAAGTTTTAAATTTTCAAACTTTTCAAGTTAGTTCTTAATTTGCTCTATGAGCAATCTAATTAACAGGTTGTATGACAGATCCCAAACAAATCTGAAAATACGTGAATTCAAAGAATTTCCATGTAGTCTTATGACATGTGCTAATCTACCTTCCATTGATGTAAAAGCGTGCACTTCAGTGGCCCAAGGTCCTCCTTTTCCATCACTTTTGCAATCTCGGGAGATTCCATATTTGTTAAAATCTTTCAGCGTGGGACTACCAACACACATACCACCATCTTCGATACCCACAATTGGATATCCACGACCTCTCCCAACCAGCAAGCATTTCTCGATTGCATTTTTTCTTGTGGTATAGTTGCCGTCAAGAAGGTGGTCTTTTCCTTCAAGGATTTCCATGGCTCGCACAGGTAGGTCTTTGTAACATCCCCGACGAATTCCAGATTCAGTGCGATCCGCTAGAGCTGTAATGCAAAATATATTGGAAAAATGAACACTGGGTCTGGCAAGTACGTGCGTCAATTTACGTCATGTGAATTCGTCAGATCTGTCTTTTTAGCCTGAATTTGGCACTCTTTCGGTAAATAAAACACAGTATTCACCCGGTATATGCATGAGATCTAATTTGGCTATCTAAATAAGGGCCAAGTCTAATTTTCGTGCGCTAATATGGACCCTCAGACTGAAATGTGCCCCCTAAAAGAGTCTCCGATACCAGGATGTTTTGTCTATAATTGTACGTAAATAGCTAAACGAGAGGCTCGATCAATTTGTGGTCTCCAGAGCTAATCGTTTGAAGATACCGAGTACTGTGTCTTTGTGTCCGAATTTAATCAAATAGCATATTTTATCACACCACGCCGAAATATCATGAGCTTTTAGCTCCCTTTTTTTT